GTATCAATAAAGTAGGTTAAATATAGATTTAGCAAAAGTGTATTACAAAGTATTTTATGCTATTGTAAATCAAGGTGGGAATATAATTTCTTCACTTTACAGTATCTGTTCACAGTCTGCTATTTAGTTTTCTTCAAGAGCCAGACACCATGTAGCTAGGAAATCTGTAATATTTAGTATTTTATCAGAGTAGTAAGACTGCAGTCTTCCTATGATTAAAAAAGAATATCCTGTTTATTATAAATAAAACAGCATCATATTTATAATTAAAAAATTACCTTAGATTTTGGCATATGTCAACTAGTCTTACCAACTTGAAATTTTAAAGTGAAAAAGGGACAAATGAGAATGAGACTGTGGTAGTTTAACCCATAGGTAGGACCACGCAGTCCTGCACTCACTCCCCCCACCTGGTGAGATGGGAAGGGAATCACAACAAAGGATGGATTAGAATGAGGACAGGGAGAGCTCCCTCACCAGTTATGGTCACGAGCAAAACAGACTCAACTTGGGGAAGAAAAATCAATTTAATTCATTACCAATCATCCGAGTAGCACAGTGAAACATAACAACCATATCTTTAAGACACCTTACCCCCACCTCTCCCTTCTTCCTAAGCTCAAATCACTTTGCTCCTCATTTCTCTAACTTCTCCCCCCAGTAGCACAGGGGGACAGGGAATGGGGGCTGCAGCCAGTTCACCATTGCTGCTCTTCCCAGTAAGAAAGTCTCGGAATAAAGTGTTCCAAAACAAGCTTCCCATAGAGTCACGGACCTCTTCAGGCACAGCTCCTGGCCCCAGCATGGGGAAGTCCACAGGCTGCAGACAGACTTTCTCCCTCGCCCAGATCTAGGGGTCCACCCCCACTCTGGCATTGAGCGTCTCTGGGGTCTCAATTCAGTCACACTTGCCCTTGGGCTCAGCTTTTCTGTTCCATTGTGGAGTCCTCCATGGCCTACACGTGGGTATCTGCTCCACCATTGAATTTTCATGGGCTGCAGGGACCTCCTTTACCTACTCCTACTCCATGCGGTTGAAATGGGTGTCTGAGGTTCTCTGTCCTCCCCCTCCTCGTCTTGACCCCTAGCAATGAAGCTCTCTCTTTGTTTACACCGATGGTCATCTTTGGTCAGGTCAATGGCCTCTCCTCCAGGATCTCTCCACCTTCTTTTCAAGACAGTCCTTCTCCTCACAAATATGGGTTTGCAGAGGCGTTTCTCTATTGCTAATTCACTCAGCCTGGGCTTGCAAGGGGAAGTTGTTACACCTTGAAGCCAGGGGAGCTTTCGTAAACTTCTCACAGGGGACATCACTGTAGCCCTTTCCCCTGCTATCAAAAATGCGCACATCCCTACCCCAATCCAACACAGAGAAATGTAAATTAGGCATTTTAATGTTGCAAAGATAACTAAAGAGACTCTCAAAACAATTGTGCAATTGCAAATTGTAGCATTTTCCATGTTTTTAAGCATAACTGAAATTTGTTTGTTATTTGGGTCAATTCTTCTTGATACCTATAAGTATTGTATCATTCATTCTTTCAATTTGAAACTCCATCAGGGATAATGAGTGCTGAAGCAAAAAAAATAAATATGTTGTCAAACAATATTTTCTGTACATTTTTTTTTTTAGCTGGTCCACCCTCTCCCCCAAACAAAATATATCTCTAATGACATGACACGTAAAATATTATGTCTCCTACAGATTGACAGATCTAAGACATACTGTTATTAATCTGTAGGTGCTAGCTGTATTCTCAAAGCAACTGTAGTCTTTGTGAAGATGACATTTAATGTGCCCTCTGTCTTCCCCATATTCTCCCTCTCAGAGGAATTTTGTGAAACAAAAAGTACCGAGAAAGCTTCCAGCAGAGAGTGCTCTTCTCTATAAGAACCAGATTCTGGTCTCTGGTACATTGACAGGATCTTTGAATTTCACTGAAATGTCATGTGATCAGATTATAAGTAGTAGTAATGTAGAAGGCTAATACTGTAGAAAATGTGCTTATTGTAAATTGTAGAGTCTATTGGCCTGGCTGCTCTACTAGGTTATCTGATCTTAGTTAAACTATCAGTAGCTGATCAGGATTTTTCCTGTTGTCTTTGGTCTAGTCCTCCTTAGCTGACCCATTAATTGACCTTTAAATTATGTGACCATTTATTATTTGTATCCTCATCGTTTTGATTTTTTGTTTGTTTCATTTGGGTTTGGTATTGTATTGTTTTATTTTGTTTTGTTATTGGCGTGTGTGTGGAAGGGGTTGCTTTGCTTTATTCCTGTGCAAAACCAAGTAGGAAAATCATCACTACCTATTATATGCTTTAGTTACATCTATTTCTTTCCAAATTTGCCCAACATTTCTGTCAGCATTGCTACATGCAAAACTTTCCCTTCATCCAGCACAGGAGAGAGGATGCCAAAATTACTAAGAAGTGTGCAAATTGCTTCTTCTAAAGCTATTCTCCTAACATTATGAAGTCTGACCAGCTGGCAACTGTTTGCCTCTGAGAATTTGTGGAGTTCAGCTGTTCCATCTGTATCACTTCTTCCAACTTTGCTACATTGCAGCTTATTATAAAAATTCATACATAAAAAGACCAGAAGGAAAATCTGTAATCATCTAGTTTGACCTCTGATATGCCACAGGCTGTATAAATTCCCCAAATAATTCTTCTTTGAAAAAGAGCATTTATTCTAGGAAAAATATTAAATAAATTCAATTAAAAATTGCCCATTTATGAAAAATTCACAAATGCTCTTACTGTCAACTTATGTATGCACAAACACTTAGCCCGTTGGTCTAGCTTCAAATCCTGACCACTGGATCTTTTTCTGATTTTCTCTCCTGCTTTCAGGAATATTATGAGAAAGTTTCACTCTATGAAACTCCATTTAAGTTGAGTATATCACCTCAGATTTTGCCCGAGTTAAGCAAAGAGATTAAACTTAAGAGATTTTCACTGAAAAATGCATCTCGACTTCTTTAATGCAGCCCTTTAACCTTAAATCGATTTTACACAGTGTAAAACAGCAACTACAGACTTGTATTAAACTCCTTGATTATGCAGGAATCATTAAAGAGGACCAAAATAATGTTGATTAGACTGAGGTTAGGGAAAAAATAAATGAATATGTTAAAGCTATATAAAGGAAGTGATCATTCAACACACAAATACTTCTGTTATTAACAGACATAAAGACATACCTTGATTTTCTACTGCAGATTGGTGAAACAGGTGTTTTTGGCTAAACTTAAAAATTTATTGTGGTGCTTTAATTAAGGTATCACTTATGATCAGTAAATACAGTTGGTCTGTAAAATTATTATATCTTAATCTCATACATTTTGTTTGTTTAAATGCTAGACTGGGAACTTGCATTGACTGGATCACCTACTCACATTTACCTGTTTGTACTACCATTTTATAGTTTAATTTCTACCTAATCTCTTCTTTATTTTATTTTTTTTATTCACCCAAATGTGTGACACTCCATCCAATATCTTACTGGACTCCAAGTATCTTAGCTCACCAGTATTGCCTTTACCAGTACTGAAGTCCCTCAAAAGTCTGGTCAAATTTACTTCATATAAAATCATGCTGAATGCTACAGTGTCTACAGTATCTTTACAATATCTTGCACTATCCTTACATTATGTTTTATTCAATTAAGATCAACATATAATCAATTTTATTTTGGGGCCAAGAATTAGTTTGTTGCTGAAAGATTATAATTACCTGTTTATTACAAATAATTTCGGTACATTAGTTTTCTTTCATAGTTCTGGATATATTTATATGTTTTAATACTTATTGGAACTTCATAGTAATAAATTGGAGCAATACCAGTCCATTCTTGCAAGGAAAACAACAAATAAAACCTTGAATACTATGGGTTTTTTAAAAGTCTACTCATACTAACTGATTCTCTTTATCTTTATTAGAATTTAATTAACATCTGTCTTTTTGTAGAATAATGACAAAAATAAGGGAGGTTTTTGTTTTGTTTTGTTTTTTAATGAAAACCATAGTATTTCTACCTGTAAATGGCCCAAAGTTTTCTTTTGTCCTCATATGCTTCAGGATCTTTCCTGTTAACGTACGGTATTGATGTAAGTTAATTTGAATTTTAACTTTCATTATCACAGAATTATAGGATGGTATGAGTTGGAAAAGACCTTAAATATCACCTAGGGTGCCTTGAACACTTCCAGGGAGGGGGCATCCACAACTCTTCTGGGCAACCTGTGACACTCTCTCACCACCCTCACAGTAGAGAATTTTGTCACAATATCTAAACTAAATCTACCCTCTTTCAGTTTAAAGCCACAACCTCTCGTGCTATTACTACCTGCCCTTGTAAAAAATCCGCCCCCAACTTTATTTGCCCCATTCACATACTGCTGCTATAAGGTCTCCCTAAAGCCTTCTCTTTTCCAGGCTGAACAGCCCCAACTCTCTCAGCCTCTCCTCATAGGAGAAGTTCTCCATCCCTTTGACAATTTCTGTGGCTCTCCTCTGGACTTGCTCCAGTAGGTCTATGTCCATCTTATGTTGGACGCCCCAGAACTGGACACAGTACTCCAGGTGGAGTCTCAGGAGAGTGGAGTAGAGGGGGAGAATCAACTCCCTCGACCTGCTGGCCACACTTCTCTTAATGCAGCCCAAGATACAGTGGGATTTCTGGGATGCAAACAGCCATTGCTGGCTCACATTGATCTCATCCACCAGCACCCCCAAGTCCTTCTCCTCAGGATTGTTCTTGATCCATTCTCTGCCCAGCCTATATTTGTGCTTGAGATTTCCCTGACCCAGGTTCAGGACCTTGCACTTGGCCTTGTTGAACTTCATGAGGCCCACCTCTCAAGCCTGTCAAGGTCCCTCTGGATGGCATCCCTTCCCTTCAGCATGTCAACCAAACCACACAGCTTGATGTCATCAACGGCTTGTTGCTGCTGAGGGTGCACTCAATCCCACTGTCCATGTCACTGACAAAGATGTTAAACAGTCCCAGTCCCAATACTGACCCTGAGGGACACCACTCGTCACTTGTCTCCACTTCGATGTCAATACTTTGACTGCGACCATCCAGCCAATTCCTTATCCACCAAGTGGTCCATCTCTCCAACTTAGACACAAGGAAATAATGCAGGACAGTGTCAAATGCCTTGTTCAAGTCCAGCTAGGTGACATCAGTTGCTCTTCCTTTATCCACCATTGCTGTAATCAGGAGCCAAGGTCATCAAATAGGTCAGGCACGATTTTCCCTTGGTGAAGCCATGTTGGCTTTCACCAATCACCTCCTCACTTCCCATGTGCCTTAGCATAGTTTCCAGGAGTATCTGCTCCATGATCTTGCCAGGCACACAGGTGAGACTGACCAGCCTGTAGTTCCCCGGGTCTTCCTTGTTTTCCTTATTAAAAATGTGGGTCATATTACCCCTTTTCCAGTTCATGGGAACTTCACCAGATTGCCACAACTTCTCAAATATGATGGATAAGGGCTTGGCAACTTCATGCAACAGTTGTCTCAGGATCCATGGATGCACTTCGTCAGGTCCCACGGACTTGTGCACCTTCGGGTTCCTCAAAGGTTCTCAAACCTGATCTTCTCATACAGTGGGTGTCTCTTAATTCTCCCAGTCTCTGTCTCTGCCTTCTGTGGCTTGGGAGGTGTGGCTCAATTTATTTATTATAATTACATAATTTTTTGTTATATTTATCATACTTAGATATATTTTTCAATCTGATACAAGCAGTGCTGGCATACAATTTTTTAGACATATTTTATTGTACAGCAGAAAAGGGAATATAGAAATGAATCAGGAATATATTTTAAAGGTGACAGAAATGGGTAAGTGCTACTCATATGTACAGAGCTGAGTGTCACCAAATCATACAGACTAGTTTCTTTGAAGGGCCTTATAACTCTAGAATATCAGCACTACTTTCACTGCATTTTGGCATCTTAGAAATATAGATAGCTAACTCTATCACAAATGCTGAAAAAAATCATTAATATCTGAATGGAACTTTATGGATAAAAAAAGAATTAAACTGGTATTTCTTTTACTCTTTTTTATCTTATATTAGGTTACTCTTTCCTGCTTTGTCCTAGCAAATATGGTTTGGTTTTCTTTAAGTAGCATGCTTTGTTGAAGAGAGTCCATTCATAAAACCTAACATAAAGAAAATAAGTACAGTAATTCAATGTTAAATAAAAGAGTGAAAATAAAAAAATGTGAAATGAAGAATAGGCAAGTTTTGCTGAACTGCATTTGAGTTATGATATATGACTTCTTAGAAGTACCTAATGAAATAACTCTAATTTGGAAACTTAGTCAAGGAAGTGCATGGCTTATGACAATTTAATTCAATGAACTATTTATGGGTCTACCTTATTTTTCTGTGAGTATAAACAATTATTTCTATCTCTAAGTAGAAGTCCTACAAGGAACAGATTATTGATGCAATGAGGATTTATGATCTTTTGGGTTTTAATCCTTCAGCGAGGTACTAAGTGTACCACTAATACACATAAACCTTCTCCCCTATGTTTTTATATGGTATGCTAGTGAGTTTTATGAAGAATTTATGTCTCTTAGAAAGAATAAAAAATATGTTTAATAGAAGGACATCCCCTATGAAATAGAATTTTATAGTTTAGCTTTAGAGGGTGACAGAAGCAGAAATAAACAATAATCTCTCTGGAGAGCACTCAAATCACACTCATGAATCCAAGAATATCTATTTTTCCTTGTTTGACAGCACTTCTGAGAAATGGATATTTGCTACTAGATCTTTTTTGTGTCCTCCACCTATCCAAAGGTGAAGGAGAATATAAATGTCATTAAAGTACATTTAATTAGAGCCTCATGGGTGTCTGCAACCTCAGATTAGAAACATCTTAATAATGACATGCTTTCTTCCTGCAGCTTCAATGTGCTGATGTTATTGCTGATCTTACAAGAGAGCTTAAACTTACTTCATAAGTTTTGTCCAGTACAAAATTTAACATGTGGAACTCAGAAACTATTACAACTCATGGCTTTTTACATTTTCTGGAAAACTAAACCTTAAAGAAAATTTTCATTATAAAAACCACTGCTCCTACATAAAGACAATTGCAAAAATTCTAGTAAGTCATACACTCAGTCATTTCCAGTATAGTGATTAAAGGAAGATAATAGAATAGAATATTTACTTTAATATGTATAATGTAATTGTGTTTTACATAAGAAAATAAATTAATATAATTTAATACAATTTTATTATATATTATATATATTATTATATTATAAATATATAAAATAATATATTATGGGTAATATATATTATAGGTAATGTAAATATATGTTACAGAATATAGAACATATTATATGATACTTCATATTTATATATTTTATTATATATTTTCATACAGTTAATATTTTACTCAACATCTTGTACTTTGTTTTGATGTCTAAATTCTACAGTTTCACATTAATTTTTCCTTCAGAAATTCTGTATTGTTTTCTCAAATTTTACTCCTGACCTCCTTAAAATCATGCCGTCTCATACTATCTTTGTCTTTACGATATCAACAGCTGAGAAAACAAAGTGAATGCTCCACTTCAAGGTTTTTGCTGTATTGTTACCATTAACTGTTATATTCTGAAAGACCTTTTCACTGAGGTTATTTCAGTCCCAGATTGCTTCTTTCTGAAGTCAAATTCTGTAACGTCTGACATTACAAAAATATTTCCCCAACATTTAGACTCTGACTTCTTGTACATGCCCTCATGATATTTCAGAGTTCTCTATTGCAGCTTGTCTAGAAATACTGTGATCATTTAACATCAGTGTGAAATTTGCATCAATTCAATCACTCAGACTAAGTAAACATCAAATAAAGGCGGAGAGGTCAATGGGTGTCAGAATTGCCTGTATATTTTAATGATTCATCAGGGGAAGCTAGTTGGCTTCCATGTTTTAAGGCTGTGATAATTTGGGTCAGGTTGTGTAATTTATAGTAGTTGGGAACTTGGTGAGTAGTGAAATTGAAAATATCCCCACCTCTTAGTACGACATGAGCTGTAAATACTTCTGTTTCATTGCTGTCATTGTCCCTGGTTTCATTGTTCTTGGCTGTGACAGAGGCCTGGTGCATCATAGGCTGTGTAAGCGTGGTCAGTCGATTGAGGGTCATAGTTATCACCCTCTACTCAACAGTTGTAAGACAACATCTATATATTGCCTCCTATTTTAGGCCCTCTAGTACAGGAAAAACATTGATAAACAGGAGCAAGCATTGGAAGGCCACCAAGATGTTTGGATCTGGGGCATGTTTCCTGCCCTTCAGGCTGAGGGCCCAGTGCTGGTTTGACCTGGAGGAGGGACAGCTTCCTCAGGGACCTGACAGCCACTCCCAAAACCTAAGTGGAAATCATCAAAAAGACAGAGACAGGGTCTTTGCATTTGTGTAAACTGTAAGTATCAAAGAAAATGGGTATAGGTTGAAACACCAGAATTTCACGTTTGATCTAAGTAAAAAGGAATTCTCAATGAGGACAGACAAACAGCGGAGTAGGATGCCCAGACAAGCAGTGCTGGCTTCATCTTTGGCATTTCAAGTCATAATTTGACAAAGCCCTGAGAGACCTGGTCTGAGCTCACAGCTGATCCTGGTGTAACCAGGAAATCTCCTTAGGTCCTTTCCACTCTGAATTATACCGTAATCATGTATCATAATCCCATGATTTAACAATTGTTTGATAGGATAAATTATCAGCTCACAATCAAATGTCAGACAAGTGAAAAGGAAGCATTCGACAGGGTTTTTTTTTAATGTCTTATAAATTTTCATAAGAAAATTAGAATGCACTGTTGTAACACACATCTGTTAACAAATCTTCCAGGCATAATTACCCTGACAAGTCACAAAAATGAAAGCTGAGATGACATAAAACATAAATACATGCTAATTTATATTTATTTCTCTGTGCAGTATCCTGAGCAAACTTAAAAGTACAGATTAGTACTTCTTTACTGGTATTAATTTCCTCTTATTCATAAAGGTTGAAGAAATTTGAAAAATGAACACAACATCATATGATGAAGGAAGAAAATCACATAATGAATAGAAGTAGTAATTTGTAAGTATTCGAAACAATAGTGAAGTTGATGAAAACTCATAGTAGTAGTAGTATTTGATGTAAAGAAATTAAGCTTATCAAATATTTTAATCTCTTACTCAACTGCAGTAAAAATCCTGCTCATTTAACTCTTCAGTTAAGATCTTTACGATGATCTATAGCACGTGTCCTCAAACTTTTTAAACAGGGGGCCGGTTCACTGTCCCTCAGACACTGTCGGGGGCTGGACTATAGTTTGGAAAAAAATGAATGAATTCCTACGCACACTGCACATATTTTATTTGTAGTAGTGCACAAAAAACAGGAAAAAGAATGCAATATTTAAAATGAAGAACAATTGTAGTCAACAAAAACAAATAATATTTCAATGTGACCTATGGGCCTGCTTTTGGTTAATGAGATGGTCAATTTTAGGTTCCATATTTGTCACTGCTAGGCGTAGCAAGTGATGCCAGTGTTCATCAGTTAGTCTGGATTTGATTGGAGGTTTCAGATGTTTCATTCGGGAAAAGGTCTGCTCACAGCCATAGGTGCTGGCAAAGACGGCTGCAATTTTGAGTGCATGGTTCCTGAGATTATGATATGTCTCTGAGGGGAGAGATGCATAGAAATTAGTAAGGCTGTTTGATTCGAATGCATCTTTCAGCGAGTCACAAGTCTGTAGTTCGGCCAATTACATTTGGTAAATCAGATCAACAGTTTCAATGTCAACAGAAAATGGGTTCTGGAAAAGCTGTATGTCCTGTTCATGGAGACGAAGCTCTTCAAATCTAATTTGAAACTCCTTTTGCAACATTTCTAGTACATCTATACAAATTTTGTTTGGGAATGCAATTGCTGTTTTTTCTGCAGACAGGTTTTGAGTT